TATATTCTAAATAAATTGCATAAAAATTAAAAGGCAAATTTACAATATGAGATTTCAAAGTATAAACTTAATATTCAAACACCAATAAGTCCAAACCAAAAGAGACTCAATATGTTAAATAATAATGTACTCGACAGGATCACAAGTGGGTATTCGACTCGACAACACATGGAAACCAACGGGCGGAACCTCAACGGACAGAATTCCAACAGGTGCCTCCTTTACTGCCACTGAAGTCACCATTGATGAGAATGAATTAAAAGCTTAGGCTCCCCATTTATGTCCCATGTTGTTACCGTTAGGACTTTAGTATAAATGGGGCTCTCCTCAGCTAGCAAAGGACACTGTATTTTCTATACTGAAACTAAGGCAATACAACCATTGTTACAATCCGTTATTCTGATATAATTATTACCGGTAACATATTTACCGTCATTGGTTCTTTCATTGAGAGCCGAACTCAAGCAGGCGACTACATACACAACTCATTCATCTTTCAACAGCAAAGAATGGTGTCCCGCAGCTCCCACGGATCTCGCAACGTGAACAATGGCAATGCCTCAGGTGACCTCCGTGACCAACTCACCAACAATCGCGGAGGGGACCTCCGAGAACAGCTCAACAACGGGAGACCCGGGGACCTTCGAGACCAACTCAACAATGGAGGGGACCTTCGAGATCAACTCAACAATGAAGGGGACCTCCGAGACCAACTCAATAATGGAGGGGCGAACCAAGTTATGAACCTCCAGGCGACCATTCAGTAAACAGTGACGGCGGCACTAAATCAGGTAGCGGTGGGACTGCAAGGCCAAGTGGCCCCGCCGCGGCCTCAGGAAATAGAGGTAGAATCCCCGCGAAGGGTAGATGCCCGAGACGCAGCCCGTACAGCGAGGGACGCAAGGCGTCGTACCAGGACAGGGAGACCAGGGGAGGGCGCCCAAAGAAGTGGACCGGCTAGACGACAACTTGGACCCTCCCGCTCTGCCCTGGAATGGTTGGGACACGGGGCGCCCGCTCGGCAAAGGCCCGAGTCACTGGCAGAGGGGTCCTCCGCTAGAGACCCTCGCCGGCACGAGGAAAGAGAAGCAGAGAGGTCGCCCACAGAAAGGATGGGCGAGTCTCGTGGGCCGGCCCCGCCCCGGCACGTTGACGAGCGTCGACACTCGGATGAGCAACGCTTCGATGAACCGGCTCCGCGTCGGCACTCGGCGGAGCGACGCGTCGATGAGCCGGCTCCGCGTCGGCACTCAGCAGGCGAGCGACGCGATGACGAGCGGGTTCCACACCGGCACTTAGATGGACGAAACGTCGAGGAACCAGCTCCGCGTCGACACTCAGATGGACGGCACGTCGATGAACTAGCTCCACGGCAACACATGGAGACCCTGACGAGTCGGCCCTGGTCGAGAGGCTGCAGAGAAGGATCGAGGAGTTAGCAAGAAGGGTGGAGGCACGGGAGCAATCGCCGGAACCCGAGGTACGGATGGCAGCACCGTTCTCCCCAAGCATCATGGACGTACCTCTGCCGAGGGACTTTAGGTTACCCGCTATCAAAGCGTACACGGGAGCCATTGACCCACGTGTCCACATGACGAGGTACAAGACTACTATGGTAATGATCGGGGCAGGGGACGCCATCATGTGCCGAGCGTTCTTGTCCACCCTGGATGGAGCGGCCCAGGACTGGTTCAATACCATCCCAGATGGATCGATCCAAAACTTTGGGGAGTTGTCCAAGAGCTTCCTGACATACTTCTCCGGTAGCATACAACGTAAGAAACCCTTCTCTCACCTCTGCGTAGTAAAGCAAGATAGAGGCGAGAGCCTCAAAGACTTCCTGATCAAATGGAAAAAGGAAGTCAATAATGTCTACGACTTCAAATCCAAGGCGGCGATCCCGATATTTATCCATGCCTTAAGATCGGGATATTTTCACAAGTAGCTGAATGCCCACCACCCCCGTTCTTACGAAGATCTGATGAGGACGGCCAGCCGCTATGCCGAAGTAGAGGACGTCGATAGAAAGAAGAAAGATGAAGAGGACGGTAGGAAAAGTGGGAAGCCTGTGAAAGCTGGTCCGCCCAGCCAGGCACCGCGCTCGAACCACCCGGCCGCAGGGAAAGGCCGAGACCATGAACGGCCTCGCCTGGTCCCCTTGCGTAACTTAACTCCCCTACCCATCCCGTCAGTGTCATTCTAAAACAGGCGGAGGAGATGGGAATAGTGGAGTTCCCACCAGAATGCATGAAGGTTTCCCTGAAAGGAGACCAAACAAAGTACTGCAGGTTCTATAGGCAACCCGGGCACGACACAGATGAATGTAACATGCTGAAGAGACAAATAGAAGAACTCATCTAGCAGGGTTACTTCCGACATTTTGTCAAGCGATCCAAACAGCAGCAACAGCCGCAACACGATCCATCAAAAAATCCACCAAAAAATGTCTGGAGGAAGGAGGATGGCGTAGAGCCGTCCACCTCAAACGCCAAGAAAAGAGAACACAACCAAATATCTGAGGAAGATGATAGCGAGAAGGAAACCGAGGTGGCGCCCAGACGACAAAAGAAGCACACCATACCTTTATCTATGGTGGACCTACGGGGGGTGACACACCCACGGAGAGGAAGAAGTGGAGCAGACAATTGTACGTGGGAGAAGTGGTAAGTCTTTCCAAAAGAAAGAAGCAGAGGCGGGAGGCCATCACTTTCTTTGACGAGGACCTCCCCGAGGGCCCCTTACCCCATCGCGACGCACTAGTAATTAAGATGGACATCAATGACATGATCGTACATCGCATCTTGGTCGTCACGGGAAGCTCAGTCAATGTGATGTATTACGACGCCTTCACCAAGTTAGGGATACGTAGAGGCTAGCTCAAAGAGGTACGAACTCCACTCTCTGGGTTTACTGGGGATTCGGTGGAAACAGAAGGGTCGGTGACCCTGCCCGTGGAGATAGGCACGAGTCCCAACATTCGCAAGCTGGACATGGAGTTCATTGTGGTAAGACTCACCTGCGCGCACAACATCATATTGGGGAGGCCGGCACTGGAGGACCTCAAGGCCAAAGTGTCGGTGGAACACTTGTGTATGACATTCCCTACTCCGAATGGGATAGGGGTCGTCAGAGGAGATTGGCGAGCAGCCCGCAATTGCTATGTGAAGGTATGCAAGAAGATTGGCAGTAAGGACCTACAGGTCCACACGATCGCGGAGAAAATTTTCTAAGAAGAAGAGGCCTGGCCCCGCGCCGAGCCCGTGTTAGAAACGGATGATATAGTTTTGGATCCCTCTAGACCAGACCGGGTGGTGAATATCGGCACAGGCTTAAGCTCGGAGCTAAGGGCCCAGATAGTGGATGTAATCCGCCGCTCCCACGCGGTGTTCGCATGGGGCCCAGAGGACATGCCGGGTATAGACCGAAGCATCATAACCCACAAGCTCGCAGTCGACCCCAGCGGGAAACCGGTGCACCAGTGAAAAAGGTATATGTCGGCAAAAAGGAGGTGACCGCGTTGCTCCAAGTGGGGCACATCAAGGAAATCTACTACCCGCAGTGGTTGAGCAACGTAGTCCTGGCGCCCAAAGGATCAACGTGGAGGATGTTTGTGGACTACACGGACCTCAATAGGGCATGCCCTATGGACCGTTTTCCACTGCCCAACATAGATCAGTTGGTGGATGAGACGACAGGATGCGAACTTATGAGCTTCATGGACGCCTTCCGTAGGTGCCATCAAATATCTATGCATGAGGAGGACGCCGAGAAGACTGCCTTCACCACTCCCAAAGGGATATTCTGCTACTTGGTCATGCCACTCGGATTGAAGAATGCCGGGGCCACATACACTCGCATGGTGGCAAAGCTATTTAAAACGGTGTTGGGACAGAACATGGAAGCATACTGGATGACATGATCGTCAAAAGTCGTAAGGCCACCTCTCATGTCGAGGATCTTAGCGAGGTATTTTTCATTATGAAGAAATTTAATTTGCGCTTGAACCCGAAAAAATGCACCTTCGCCGTTGATGGGGCAAATTTTTGGGCTTCATGGTCACTAGGAACGACATTGAGCCGAACCCAGAAAAGGTAAGGACTATCCTTGACATGGAGCCTCCGCGGTCCATAAAGGAAGTCCAGAGACTCAACGGGCGTCTGGCCGCCTTAGGCCGTTTTCTTACTAAATCGGCCGAACGATCTCTCCCCTTCTTCCAAATCTTGAAAAGGAACAAAGGGTTCGAGTGGACGCCAAATTGTCAAAAAATCGTCGAGGAGTTGAAAAAATACTTATTGTCCCCGCCCCTGCTTGCAAAGCCAAAGGCAAGTGAAACCTTAATCTTGTACTTGGGCGTGTCACAGGGTGCGATAAGCTCCGTACTGGTCAAGGAAGAAGGAGGGACTTAGCGTCCCATCTACTACGTAAGTAAAGCCCTACATGACACAGAGCTCTGGTACAGTGTGCTGGAGAAAATAGTATTTGCCATAGTCACTTCATCAAAAAGGTTGGCTCACTACTTCCAAGCTCACCCCATCCACGTGTTCTCATATCAACCGTTGGGGAGTTTCCTCTGGAACACTAACAGCTCCGCCAGGATGGCACGCTGGGCCATGCACCTCAGTCAGTTTGACATAGATTTCAAACTGAGGCCCGCCATCAAAGGCCAAGCTCTTGCAGACTTTATAGTGGAGTGCACAGCTTGGGAAGTGACGGACCAGGTAGAAACTGAAGATGGAGGGTGGTGGACCTTGTCCACAGATGGTTCTTCCAACAGCAAAGGTTGCGGTGGCGGCGTAGTGCTCGTCACTCCGGAGGGATTCCGCGCCTACTATGCCATCCGATTCCACTTCAAGTTATCTAACAATGAGGCGGAGTATGAGGCCCTCCTCAATGGGCTGCGGTTGGTGGCAGGACTACGAGCTAAAAAGGTCCGAATTCAATGCGATTCCAAGCTGGTAGTCAGCTAGGTGTCTGGGGAGTATGAAGCCAACGAAAGAAGCATGCAGAAATACAGAGACGCGGTACTGAGAACCTTGCGCGAATTCGAGGGATATGAAATACACCAGGTACCAAGAGAGCAGAACGCTGACGCCGACATGCTCTCAAAACTAAGTACCGGAGTCCCCAGCCACATCAGGAAGATCGCTCGGCTAGAAGACCTCGAGACTTCAAGCATCGATGTTTCATGGGTCTTCCTTGTGCAGACTAGGGAGCCATGTTGGATTGACCATATCAAGCGATACAAGGCAGAGGGCGCTTTACCGCAAGACGAGGCAGACGCAACGGTAACAAAGTTACGGGCACCCAGCTACGTTGTCTCGGGCGATAAGCTATACAAACGCTCCTACAACGGCACGTTATTGAGGTGTCTATACCCAGATGAAGCCAAGTTGGTGATGAAAGAAGTCCACGAGGGGGTATACTCCGCGCACCAAGGGGCGTACACCATCGCACGACGCATCATGTTACAAGGGTATTTTTGGCCCAAAATGTTAAGGGACTGCGCCGAGTATACAAAGCGATGTCCCAAGTTCCAAGAATTCCAGGCACTACCAGGTCGACCTGCGACAAATTACAGCCCGGTAAGCACCGCGATTCCTTTTTCAAGGTGGGGAATTGACCTGGTAGGGGCCCTTCCCACGAGGACTGGAAGCAGGAAGTACATCATTGTGGCCATCGACTATTTCACAAAGTGGGTGGAAGCCGAGCCCTTGGCGAGCATCACTGCAGCAAGGTGCAAAAGGTTTGTTGAGAAAAAAATCTTGTATTGTTTCGGTATCCCTCTCCAGGTAATCACAGACAATGGTCGTCAGTTCGTGGCACGAGAATTTTCAGAATTCCTAGCAGGATGGAGCATTAAGCATAGCCGAGTGGCGGTATCTTATCCTCAGGCGAATGGGCAAGTGGAGAATGCGAACAGAACCATCCTCGACGACCTCAAGAAAAAGCTAGAAGTAGCCAGCGGAGCCTGGGTGGAAGAACTCGACGGCATCCTCTGGGCCTACCGCACAACACCAAGAAGGGCCACCGGAGAAACCACGTTTGCACTCACTTATGGATTCGAAACTCAGGCCCCGGTGGAAGTGATCATACCTAGCAGAAGGGTAGAGGAGTTCGAGTAAAAACAAAATGAACTCCACCAAAGGGTGGATTTGAACTTCTTAGATGAAAAAAGAGAAGCGGCATTCTGCAGAATGGAGAACTACAGTCGTCAGCTAAAGTCCTACCACAACGCAAAAGTCCGACCCCGATATTTCTAAGTCGGCGACCTCGTGTTGCGAAGAAGGGAAGCTAGCCAACCCCTGGAAGGGGGAAAATTCGCAAAGAAATGGGAGGGGCCTTACGTCGTGGAAGAGGTCGTTCGCCCAGGAACATACAAGTTAAAAATGATGGGGGGAAGGATGATCGATCGGGTATGCAACTCAGAACATTTGATCAAATATTTTCCTTAGATATCCTGTAGCGGTAATCATTGGAGCTAGTACTTGATAATCGCGGTCTGTCCGCTCTACATGCTAAAGTTCTCTGAAATAATATCTTATTTTCATGGTCCGCCCATGTTATCTGTTAAAGCGAGTTTGTTATCGTCCTTTACGAAGCTTTTCGAAATAATATCTCGGGTTCGTGGTCCGCCCATGTTGTAAAAAAAAAAAAAAATAGAGACCGAGTCGCACGCCTCGGCTTGGCCGAGATGCGACTCGACTCGGACGGCCGAGGCTCCGCCTCGACCACCGTTTGGCCGAGGCACGCCTCAGCCAGAAGATGGCCGAGGCGCACGCCTCATCCAGAGGATGGCCGAGGCGCACGCCTCGGCCAGAGGATGGCGAAGTCTGCCTCGACAAAAAAAAAAAATTTAAGTAACAAGTTTGTTCCGAAGTAATTAGTTTATTCTGAAGATTCCAAAAAGTAACGAATTTTCAGTTCTAACATGGAAAAGCAAACTATTCGAAGATAGCTAGAAAGCAAGGGAAAAATTCTCAAGTACGAATACAAACTACTCGTTGTCCGTGAAGTCCTCAATCACAATCTGATCGAGTGGAACATTGGGGAGATGCCTTGAAACTCGTCCACCAAAGAATCCTCACGTGCATCAGTAACATCATCAGTAGATACATTCTGGGCATCAGGGTCAGGATTCTTCTCTATGACAGGCAAGCCAAGTAACACGGGGTCAAAATTTGGAAACTTCTCCCTCAGCACTGAAAAAATCTGTTGTTGTTTCGTATACATCCTAATGTTAAAAGCCACTTGTGCCTCGGCCTCGACCGCCTCTTGGCAAGGCTTCAGTTTTGAGGAATTCCCGGACAGCCTCAGGAGTACTCATATAGTGCATCGCGTCCTCTTTAAACTCGCTTGAACTCTTGTAGGCCTCCACAGCCCGGCCAAGGGCGTCAGCATGGTCAGCACGGGTCCTCGCATGGTCCTCCCGCTCCTTCCTTAGGGCAAGTGTAAGTTCTCCGTGTTCTTTCCTTAGAGCCTCAAGCTCGGCTTCCATTTTGATCAGAGCCTCCTCCCTGGTCAACTGTGCTTGGTGCTCCTTCCAGCGCCCCAAGCTCGCCTTCCATTTTGCTTAGAGCCCCTTCTCGGATCGACAACAGGTCCTTTAGGCTCTTATTGTCCACATCCCTAATTTTAACATCCTCAATGAGCGCGTCCGTTACCCGCCGTCGTTGGGCGTGAATGATCTGTCCCTCTAGCAGGGCCTGAAAGTAACAGACAGAGTAAGATACGCCGGGGTAGGGAAAGAACATAAGTATGAGAAAACTGACCTCAAAAATGTGTCGAAGATAACGCTCTTGCAGCATGGTGACATCCATGGCGATGAGGTGTTCCAAGTCCGCAGGAGAAGAAATATGAGCAGCATACTCAACCGCATGAAGTGTTTTATTTATTAATGATGCTCCTGGTGGCACGTCCGCTCCCAGTCGGATCAAGTTGGTCTGAACACGCGAGCCGGACTCAAGGGAAGTGTCTCCTTGCACCTCGGGGGGGTTGAGGGTAAAAGGTAACAGACGTGGGTGTGCGAGTTGATGGAGGCTGCGTCACCCCCTCGGCGACCTTGGATGGAGAAGGCGTAGGTGTGCGAGTTGATGGCTACGTCACCCCCTAGGTGACCTTGGATGGAGTAGGCGTGCGTGCCAGCGGGGGCGGCATCACCTCCTCGGCCGCAACTTGGCTCTTTTTACATTTCTCTACCTTGCTCTTCTTGGCGGGGAGATCCTGCAATCGCGACAAGTATCGACCGGTTCTCGAAGACGAAGACATGGTACCTGCAACAAAAGAAGACAAGTTAGAGTTAGTGGTTGACGAATAAAGACTAAGTGATAATAGAAGAATACCCGTGGGTACAATAGCAGCAGGTTGAGTCCTCACGAAGCCTAAGCCCGCGAGTTTCCACTCGGTGGTGTAATCAGCGATCGATAAAAGGCCATCGCCTAGTAGGTCATCTACATCTCGGCGGAGGGAAGGACTCATGTCGAGGGTAGGAGGGCAACGTAGATGGGATCACCACGGGACACGAAAGGGAGACGGACGACCCACAAGGGTAACAAAGACGAATTTGGGTTTCCAGTCCTTGTTAAAAGTAGGATGGTCCTCAATGAGTTTGAAATGCGGCCTGCTCGAAACCATGACAAATCCCTTACCCTCCTGAGAAGCCCTACCAACTATGAAAAGTGCCTGGAAAAGATCTAGAGTGGGTTCTATCCCTTTGTCCTGGCATATAGAAAGAAAGCCCGCAATCACCTGGTGACCGTTGGGAACAAGCTGGCCGGGGGCTATCTCGTAGTAGTTCATAAAATCTATCACAAACCTATGAAGGGGAAACCGCAGCCCAACCTGTAGCGATAGAAGGTGGACCCTAAAATACTTATCGAGGGGTGGGTCGGAAATATTACCCTGAGGATGAGGAGGGTAAGTCAAAACGTCAGGACTAAGGACACCTCTAATATCCTCCCAATCCCGTGACCCTAGTTGAGGCCGTATAGACAGGATGAGGGAGTTATCAAGAACGGAATATGAGGCCTTGCGCTTTTTCTTCTTTTTCAGTTCGGGCCTAGGTGTGGGTGAGTCAACAGCAAATGGAAGAGGGGGAAATTTTGCAAAAAGAGGGGAATCATGCTCGGGAAGGTAGACCTCATCATCACCATCAAAATCAATTTCTCCGACATCAATCAAAGACGTGATATCCATTACAAGCAAAAACACACTAACCTCACCTCGGTTACAAATAAGCTCGCAAGACTTGGGTACAAAATTTCCTGTCAAGAAAGCAGGGTATTAAAAAAAAAAAAAAAAGAACCGAGGCCTCGGCCACAGAATGGCCGAGACGCAACTCGGGTGGCCGAGGCGCTCACCTCCAGCCACAGCCGAGGTACTTACCTCGGCCAGATGGCTGAGGCAGCGCCTCGGCCACAGGCCCAGGCATAAAAAAAAAAAGGGGCCGAGGCGTAGATGGCTGAGGCAGCGCTTCGGTCAAATAGCTGAGGCGACGCCTCAGCCACAAGTCGATGTGCAGCACCTCGGCTGGCTGACGCTTCGGCCGCAAAAAAAAAAAAAAAAGGGACAGACATGTATATATATGCATATATATTAATACATATCATAACGATAGAATAAGTAATGACAGCGGAGACTTACAGAGTGGTGGTAGAAGTTGATGAAGAAGTGCTCTCAAACTGCTCAGAGGCAAGGGTTTATATTGGAGAGGAGTCTGCGATAAAAAAGTTAGGTGAATATCTTTAGAAGCAGGAAAGGATTGGGAAAGCACAAATCAGGGATTTGGAAAGCACAAATCAGGGATTTGGAAAATAAAATCACATATCCTAAATCAATCAGGATTCTACACAGGATAAAGATAAGATTCAGCTTTACTCCCAAGTCAACTCAAACACATCCGTTAACTAAGAGTAGGGGCGACTGGTGACAGTATAATAAGGCTGGAACCTGACCCGGATCACAAGTGGGTATCCGACCCGGCACCACATGGAAACCAACGGGCGGAACCTCAACGGATAGAATTCCAACAGGTGCCTCCTTTACTGCCATTGAAGTCACCATTGAAGCCACCATTGATGAGAATGAATTAAAAGCTTAGGCTCCCCATTTATGTCCCATGTTGTTACAGTTAGGACTTTAGTATAAATGGGGCTCTCCTCAACTAGCAAAGGACACTGTATTTTCTATACTGAAACTAAGGCAATACAACTATTGTTACAGTCTGTTATTCTGATATTATTATTACCGGTAACATATTTACCGTCAGTACTGGATATATACTTTAAAATTTTTAAACTTTAAGCCCATGACTAAATGTTTTAATGCATAAAGATCAAATTTATGAGAAATAACATAATTTACAAATTCAAACAATATCAAACCAAAATGATATGCTATCATTTTTAAATTAAAAAACTCGCAAACCCTAATTGCATAATTAAACTTAAAATTATGCACTTAATGTGATCGAATGCATAAAATAATCTAAAGAGTATGAACCAACTAAAGAGTATGAATTTACACCAAATATTCATTTATTCATACTTAACCAAATATGGGCAATGAGAACTAAAATCATAATTCAAATAACTAAATGAATTATGGAATAAATGTCACATAAGTTTATTTGGAAACAGTTCAAGATCATAACTAAATACCATAATTGTTAGACATTATATTATTGTTATTAGTTTTATAATGTATAGTTTATATTCATGTTGCTTTAGTCTTAGTTTGTTATTTCTAGTCTAGAGTTCAGGAGACTTATGAGGATGCTTTCATATAGGTCTCTATCATGTAATTGATTGATTGAATTTGAAATCCTAAAACTCATCTGGTATCAAGAGCGTTAGGTTCCGATCCCTCTTTTTTTCCTAATCTCTCTCCACCACCCAAAATGTCGACGAACTCTTCTGAACGCACGGTGACCACCACCACCGCCGCTACTCACACCACCACAAACTCCCTTAGCTCGGCTCATCACTTTGTGTCGATGAAGCTAACCAATCGCAATTTTTTGTTCTGGCGTGCTCAACTCCTACCGTTTCTCCGCGGACAAGGCTTGCTTGGGTATATTGATGGCTCCCTACCCTGTCCGCCGGCCACCATCACAGTGACGCAACAG